ATCACCCAGAAATAATGCTGTTATCTAATTCATATCTTCCTTTCTTGATCTCAGGTATAATGCTTGACTCTTTGCTAAATACAAATGTGGTGCAAATTTTTTCAGTTTTCTACATACTAGTTCAATGTATTCAAACACTGGCTCTTTATTATGTGTCAAGTTTGACCTAACTGTTGTTGTCCATTGATCAAAATCAATCTCATCATCATCTTCAAATTGTTCAAGTATATCATAAAATTTTTCAACTAATGCATTCATAGTTGCTAAGCATTTTTTACATTTCCTCATCATACAGTCTTTATTAGTTATATCACAGACAATATAAGGTAACAATTCTTTGTATGTCATACCAAGAGGATGTAAAACCAGTTTCAAGTTCTGATGAATAGCACAGGCGCATACAGAGTGTGTTCCTGAGGCACCAACAGTAATTCATCATTTAGGTCGCAAGGTGCAAACCTTGAAAATCCTATTTTAATTTCTAGGTTCTTGGTTTTAAAGGCAACAAACAATTCCTTTAAATTACATAGGAGCAAAAATTTTTGCATGTGGACATTTTTCTTTATGCTTACATAGTCCTACATACCAGGCATTATACGACTATGCTCATCGTCTTCGTTAAAGGTCTTGACCATTTGAACTGTTACATCAGGAAGAGCTTTTTCTAGTTTATAATTAGGCATGGTTAAAATACCTTTTTCTAATGTTAACTTATGTGCAGTTCGAGCTACATAGTTTGTTACATGCAATGTTTCAAATACCTTTTTTATTGACTAGTCTGTTGGAGCAAGTGTCACAAGTTGCGCTTTTTTTGATGTAGACTCTGCAATTTTGTTAGTTAACAAAATCATCATGTTATCAAACAAGTTTGCTTTTTCTATATACTCATTATTAAAACTTGACTGTTCTTTAAAACTTTCTTCTGATATATTAAAGGAAATTGCAAGCTTTTTTATAATGGAGGTTGTTAATGCTGTCAGTTTTCGTTTACCTTCTCTGATTTTACCTGATTTTTTGCAATCCTTTGACCTTAATTGGAGATCTTCAATTAAGGTCAAAGGATTTGACCTTAATTGGAGATCTCCGGCAGATGCAAAGTGTGTATCTACACTTTCTCTTTTATTTTGAATGGATCTTTCATTAACAATATCAAAGTCTTCATTATTTTTATTTTCACTTATACTTTTTGATAAACATGTCATAACTTTACTTCGACAGGTTGGACACAGTTTTTTTCCAGGTATAAAATTTAAACCTATGGTTTCTGCTTCAACACAGTATGCATTGTAATCACACGTAGAGATGCTTAAAAAGAAAGTAATTACATTACTTAAATAACATTAATTATATATACTAGCAAAAAGCAACCCCTAACACGGGTTTTGGTCGGTCTGTTACAAGATTAATTTATAGTGGCTGTTTTTCACAATTTAATGTTGGAAAACCTTAACTAATACCCTTTTAGAAAATCGCCTTTAGTTTGAAAAAATTAATTCATCTGTAAAATTATTATAAAAAGTATGAGGAGGTAAAATAATTTACCAACTACTACTTAACATTTACAATTACTACTTAACATTATTTGAGTAATTTCCAAATGGCATAGGTCAGTGTAAGGCAGAAACATTTTCATTGACCACCTAAGTTTAACGTAATACGTTTTTAGTTACTCACACAAAATAATAACACTTCGTCATGCTTTAAATTGACGAAAGTATCAACTAAATCCTTGTAATGATTTTATAACACGAACCATTTAGATTATAATGAAGTTAAAAAGAATAAATTATATTATACAGGAGTTATCAATTTTTTGGTATTCCTTTAATTAATTTTTCTTAAGAAAAAAAAATTGTTAACTTAAAAATGTTAAATGCACACATTTAAATAATTTTTTTAAAAATAACATAGTTTATTATAAATAACTAAGCAACTATGTACAAATACGCTTCAAGCAAAAAAAAATTAATTTACGATCAAATATGGGTATAATAATAAATTTGATAAAATATGTAAACTTATTGCATTATTGCATCTTATGACAAACCTAAAATAAAAATTATAACAGATAAGTAGACATACAAATTTGTAAACCAAGTCTGTTCAACACAGACCATTTCTATATTATTTGTTTGGCTTATTTATTTCATTAATTTTAGTAAACGGTAATTTGTCACCATTTACTAAAAATTCCTTTTGTACCTCGAAATTTAATTTTCTTAAATACTTTGACTCTAATAAAGAGGTTCCTCCCGTCTTTTTGCTTTAATGGTGAATAAAATAAAATAATAAAATGTAAAACAATGATGTAGATCATTGTATAACAATGTTTTCTTTCTTTCCTCAAAAGTGTTGCAAATACAGACTAAGCTAACAAATTAGTTAAACACATAAATAAAACTTGAGTAACTCGATATAAATGCGCAAAACTACAATATTCTCCATGTTTTTAAAGGTTTTTAGTTAAGACCCCCCATTTACAATGATCCCCTTATAATACGTACAACAAATTATTATGCATAAAATAGATAAAATATAAAATTAACTAATAGCATATATTTATATCTTTTTAACTAACAAAAATTTACAATAAAAAGAAATCAGGTTTTTTTAATTTATAAATCTTATAAATGCGTTATAACGTACTTCTAAAAAAAAAAAGTAATAAAATTATAAAATCATAATTACAAAGAAAAAAAAACAAAGACCACTACACAATTACCGAAAATCGATTTACCTATTTATAGTAACCTATTTTGAAATTCCAGTTAAAGACTTATCGAAAATCTAACTATAAAATCTGTTTCGAAGTACAAAAGCATTAACAATACTAAAAAAAAAATCAAACTAAGATATAAATTGTTGTCTTAGCTTTTATAGTTTAAACATATATACAACTATAAAAAAATATGACTTTATGTAACACATATAAACGCATTTTACAACTATTGAATAATAGATATATTTATCAAAAACAATGAAAAAAAAAAATTAATGATAAATAAAGTTATACATACAAAATGTGCTAACAACCTTTAACAGTAAATTTTCGAAATGAAAATCTTAAGACTATAAACTAAGAACATTAAAAAATATAACAATATTTATGTTACATTTTTTTACCTACTACACCTTGAATAAGATGTTTATCAATTTTGAAAAACAAACTATTAAATGCTCTGTTCTTGAAAATGCAACATATAGTTGACCATGAGAGAAACACGGTTTTTGAGATATTTCTTTTGTCTATATGTTTAGTTTCGCGTTACGTAATAGATAGACGATCCCTTAAAAAAAATACTTGAAACTAAAAAGATTTTATTTATTAAAATATTTGAACAACCGAGAGACAATTTAAAGAATTATATCTTTAAATAGCAAATTATCAATCGCAGTATTAAAAAATACGCAAGAGCTCAGTAATTACATGAGTTTAATCTATTCTCTCTCTATACTAGTTCTTATTTAAGTCTTATCTAAGAGAAAGAGAGAGAGAGAGAAAGTGTTTTAAAAACCGCACGTTAGAAAAAGTAAAACAGTCATGCAATTAATAACAGTAACTGGTTTTATTATGCTACCAATAAACAAATTATTTTTACCTTAACTAAAAGTTAATTTCCAGCATTTCTTAATTAAGTTCCAGTTTCTCTTTAACTGTTGACAAATGAATAATATTGTAAATTTCACATCACATTAAATTTACAAAATTAAAACTATCCCAGTAAGAAAAATACGTCAAGTCGTTGTTGTAATTAGGTTGTATTTTCGTCGCGACGCAAGTTAACTAAATTCCAACGATGTTCCAACATCGGCATAACGGTGCTGTTCTAACGTTTGCTATCAAACGTAGTAACAACGTCGGAAAAACGTTATCATCTAAAGTCTTAACCCAGTAAGAAAAAGACGTCAAGCCGTAGTTGTAATTTGGTTGTATTTTGGTCGCGATGCAAGTTAACTAAATTCCAACGATGTTCCAACGTCGGCATATCGGTGTTGTTCTAACGTTTGCTATCAAACGTTGGAACAACTTCGGAAATACGTTATCATCTAAAGTCTTGAATGTTAACATTAAAACGACGTTGGAACAACGTTTGTTGTTTAACGTAAAACCAACGTTAGTCTGATTAACGTTGGAACGACTTTTGACATCAAAGCAACGTCAGCTTTCTAACGTAAACAAAAATTGATTTTACAAACTTGCAAATTTTTAAAATGGTTGAAAAACCGTAATCGAAAAAGATGTTATTTTTAATCTAATTTTAATTTAGTGGTTTTTAGGCATTATATTTTGTGATACTAATAACTAATACATTATTTCTTGATATTCTATATTCGAATTAGATATTAAACTTTTATCACACTAATGATAAAAAAAAGTTACTAAAACTTTATTTGATTTTAAAAAACTGTTGACATTTTTGTTATGTTTTTGTATACAGTATACAAAAACATAACAAAAATGTCAACAGTTTTTGAAAATCAAATAAAGTTTTAGTAACTTTTATTTATCATTAATATGATAAAAGTATATATGTATATAAGTAATGTTACATAAGTATATAAGTATATAAGTAATGTTAAATGTACAAAGTATACTATACTTTGTATATTTAACATTACTTATATAGTAAAAATTTCAAATATATATAATATTTGCACATAATATTTTATTTACAAATAGATAATTCAATGATAGATTTTTTAAATACCCGTTATTAAACTATTTAGCAGTTTAATTAAATGCCAATAAAAGTACAGAGCCTTTTTTTTTAAGACATTCAATTCAGTTGTTTAAGACAGTAGTAAGTTGTATTAAAACAAGGTTTTAACTTAATATACATAATATATTAAGTATAAATTTAAGACAATGAAGTTATATTAAGACAATGTCTTAATCGTAATATATATTTTATTTATTTGAATGGAAAGTTTTTTAGTTTGTTGTGGAACTAGACTAGAAATTACCTTATAAGCTTCTTATAACTTGTGTAATGTGTTTCTTTTACGAATTTGTATATTGGTATAATCATATCATGCTTTTCCTACAATATTATAACTAACACTGACTCTCATAAGTTTGAGTCTCAAGTCACGAAAAAGGTAAACAATTTTTTATGTATTTGTATTAAGTTATTTTTTTATTTTTTATTTTTTATTGTTATTCACCTCCGGGTTACTACCAGGAACATGGTAAGGATAGAACTCATAACTTCTCACTATAAAGCAAGCGAAAAACATATCTTACAGAAACAGCAACAGAACATCTAAATTTTACACTAGATCTAAGTCATAATAAACAAAATATTTATTTAAACCAATACACACAAAGTGTCAGATGATATACACTCAGTCAGTATTTAATTTTCAAAATGAATCACAATCTCATGTTTGCCTAATTTCAGAGTTGAAAGAAAGAGCTGATTTTGGCCATAAAAGCCATAAAAGGGTGCTGCAGTTGAGGAGGCTCCTTTTTATTTCAATTCTAGTTATAACCCCCTCTCAACTCAATAACTCCGAAGTATTTCAATAAAGTACATGTCAAATATATTTGTGTCTAGTTTATGTATATGATATGTGATATTATATAGTTTTTAAAATTGATATGTTATACCAAAATACATACATCTATATATATATATATATATATATATATATATATATATATATATATATATATATATATATATATATATATATATATATATATATATATATATATATATATATATATATATATATATATATATATATATATATATATATATATATATATATATATATATATATGTATAAATATATATATATATATATATATATATATATATATATATATATTTATATATATATATATATATATATATATATATATATATATATATATATATATATATATATATATCGTCATAGTACTATCACTTACTCATTCTCTTATCTTTCTAACCGAAAAACTAATTAATCTTATAATTTAATAAAACTCATGCCAAGTTAAAATATTTATTTTTTGAATGTTATTATTTTTCTTCAATTTTTATGTGCAGAGTTAAAGTACTAAGCTATCAAGGTGTTTAAAATCAGAATAAGTTGACTTAAATATACATAATCACAATATTTAATCTTAAACTTAAACTTAACAATAGAATATTTGAACGAGTTTACACTAAGAATTGGTAACAAAGGTTTTGCTAAACAGTTTGTGAGTTTGATTTCAATATGTTTAACATAATTTAGAGAACAAAACCTGGACAATAAATTTTAACGCGCAGCTTTTGAAACAGCAAAAACTTTACAATGACTTTAATAAAATGAATCTAAATCATTTGCTGTTACAAGTTATGTCCTCCTATTTATTCAGCCAATAAATATTTTTAAACATTTCAGATTGGTTGCAGCCTAACAAAATTGTGAAAAAACAATATTAAATAATTCTAATGTTTTAAAATTTCTGTTACAAAATTTAGTGAATAAAAATGTTTTACATTTATGAGTTTGTCATGTTTGCTCTGATTGAATCATGGCAAAAACTTATTTAGTTCTAAATGTTTATTCAATAGGCTTGGGTCTTTAAGGCTTGACCTTGGTGAATGCAGTAAAAAATATTTAAATAAGATCTTATGTGTAAAACACTTCAATGTGCCTTTTTTATATTTTTTCCTTTTTTAGGCCAACTCTCACGTGTTGGCGGAAAGTTACCAAAATATGTTAAGGACTTAATTCAGAGGTAACTTTTGTATTTCTTCCTTTATATTTTTATTTGTTTTATTTATATTCAGAACATTGCAGGCATTATGAATAAATGCAAAGATTTTGTTGATTATTATTTTAATATTACTTTAAATGAGTATAAATATTGAATGTGAATATTTATATAACACATTAGCAAACTAATACAAATGGCTATAAAAATAATATCAATAGAACATTTTGAAGTATTATTATTATAAAAATTCATTTCTTAAAAGTTAAAAAATCCTAATTTGAATTATGAAAATTGTCAAAATTTTATAAAATTTTTGTATTTATAATACTATAAAGTATCTTTGTCGAAAGTATTAAAAATATTATTAACAATATATGAATAAATTGTTATAAGTAACTATATATATATATATAAAAGTTATAAGTAATTATATATATATATATATATATATATATATATATATATATATATATATATAAAAGTTTATATATTTGTGCATACAGATAAACAAATATAAATGTATGATGATATCAAGATCAACTATATTGTGAAAGGCTAATTATTTGATAAACAGTTTATTAGAAAATGATAATTATTGAAGTTTAATCAGTGATATTTTCTTTAAGCCTATTCTAATAGTTTTTATGTTTTTGAAAGTGATTCTATGTTATATTTTACTAAACTCTCTATGAAAAGTGCTCATTGAGTAAACCCTTTGATATTTGTCCTGATTTTTAATTTTAGACCTTGTTCAATGGCCAGTTAAACATTTAGTTGCACATTTTTCGCTATATAATTTGCTTATTTGAATGCAGCAACATGGGCATAGGAAATAAATGTTACTAAAATATTTAGTCATGTGAATACTGAAAAATTATTGTAATTACATTTATCTTGGTTTTCACATCTAGCCATTGATAATAAAAAATATGCTCCATAATGATCACATATGTATTAACCAATGATATTTTATATAAACTAGTTGCCTTACTTCAATCCAAAAAGTGAAGCCGCTTTTGTCCTTTTTACAAATGACAGATTAAATTTGTAAATAAATACTATTTAACTACTTTTTTATATATGAAGTAAATATATTTTTATATATGTAATATATTTTAAATCTATATATGTAATCTATATATGTAAAAGTGTTAAGAGGAAATTAGAGTACTTGTAAATTAATAATTTATGATTTCTTAATTTATTTTCGAATAAAAAAGGATTAAAATTTAAAATAGAAATAAACCTTAAATAAACCTTGATAAGTACTTTATATTTATTATAACATGTTTTTAATTTATCTTTAATTTATTGGTTATTTTTGACTCGCATTTTGAACTTTTATTCCACACATTTGCTTCAGCTTTAACACTTTTTACAAATGGCAATTTATATTTTTAAGCAAAAAATGCGACATCATTTTTTGTTCAACAAAAGACCGCAAGTTTGACATCTAGTTTATATAATATATCATCTAGTTTATATTATATAGTTTGTTTTAATATTGTCCGTCAATTATTGATATTTTGAAAAAACGGAGCCAGAGTTATGTGATTTGTCATATGTTTAAATTAATCATATTTCTGAAAAGTCTCATGACTTTTAACAAAATCAGATGGTTAAAAACCATCTGATTTTATTAAAAACAGAAAGTCTAGATCACAGGTGGAGTTTTAAAAAACAAAAGGCTATACAGTTAATTTCTTTTGTATACTGGTCTCTATACACTGAAGATACAAATTAAATTAGCAGAATCAATGCATTGGTTATGCATTGATGCTATTAAATTGGTTTGGATGACTGGATTATTAAGGCTGTGGATTATTATGGTCCAACATTCATAACATACAATTTACAAAACCTTATTCATTTTTTATAGTTTTCTGAATGATTACTTCTTGGTATGTCTGCCTTTTTATTTAAAAAAATATTGCCTTTTGGTAAGAAGATGCCACTTGCTCAAATATTCAAGGCTTTAAGTGAAATATAAGTAGTTCCGATTAGAAGAAAAAACACCTAATAAAGTAATCATTAGTCATAAAGAGAGCTATTTATAAAAACAATTTTTGATTCTTTGCTTAGTGAAAATGTACCCTTTCAGTTTCTTTATTTACCATGCAAATCATGTTATAAAAAAATATATTGCCAAAATAACACTTGTAAAAAAAGAACTTTCCAGAAATCTGAAATCAAAGATACTTTTTATCTTTAGAGCGTAAATCTAGACATATTTTTTTTCGTTATTTCATGGTTTTGTGTTTTAAATTAATTTTATTTATTTAATCAATTAAAATTGTTTTGGAGGCAAATTCATTAGTTTTGCATTTTATTGAGGTATTGTTTATTCTATTTCAGATAATGTTGCTAAACGACTTACAGTAGATAATCTTTCGAAAGCAGAAATACTCAAGTTATCATCAAACAGAATGTTAGCGCAATTTCTTGTATTTGTGGTATTTCTATTCGTTTATTCCGAATGTTTTTTATTAAGTTCTTAAAAATGCTTTTAATTGAGTTTGTTTGTAACTTTTTGTTTCTTCATATATATTTGTCTTTTAGTGTCAAACAAAGAATACGCGAATTATTCGAGATATGATTGAAATTTGCAAAGAAAGTAAAAATCAAACTAGTTTCATTCTAAGTGTTTGTATATAGTTTTAAAATTTTGGAATAGAAGTGATGCAATGTTTATTTATTTTTAGTCTTTTAATTTCCGTATTCAATTATTTGCCTGGACAAATATAACAATCGTGTATAACCTATATAAATAAGAAGAAATATAGCTTGACAGCATAAAGTTATACAGTGTAAAATTGTCATCTATTGTTTTTTGCAGTGAAGAAATAACATCAAAAATGATAGAAAAACGTTAGAGGGCGTTTTTCTCACAACGTTTCGCAACATTGTTAATATAACGTTGACCTATGTTTCATATATGCCATTATTCCAACGTGTAGAAAACGATAGAAAAGACGTTGGCTCAACGTCATTTTAGTTAAAATATAAAGTTAGCCTAACGTCCTTATAACGTCTTTTTTCTTCAAATTTAACGTTGCTCTAACATATTTCCGACGTCATTTAGCTAAAATGTAACGTTGTCACCACGTCATTTTACTAATAACGTTAGTAAAATGACGTTTTTTCGGTGTTTCATTTGTAACATCATGTCAACGTCTTTCCAACGATACGAAAGACGTTAGAACAACTTTGTTTCGACGTCATTTTTCTTATTTAGATGTTTTAATAGGAAGCAAAATAATCAAGTGATGACAAAGACAACTGAAAAAAAATTGTCACAATTTTGTTTTAGATTACAAAAAAAAAAAATAATAATAAAATAATTATAAATTGAAACTGTTATTATTTGTTACTATAAATAGTAAAGTTCATACTTTAAAATTAAAATAACAAAAATAGTAAAAAACATACTTTAAAATTCATATTTTAAAGTGTCTAATGTAAAATCAAATAATAGACATCAACACCGCTTGACACTGAATTCTGGCAAAAAAGTTTTCTGTTTATCAAGCAAAATTTCAGTGACAATTAATTATATCACGCCTAAATCTATTTCTTTCATATAACAACAATTTCAAGTCACCTATAACCATTTACACTAATAACCTCTTCGAGCCTAATATTATACACCTGTTATCATTAAACATATTACCAGTGATTATACTACTGTTACAACTGAATAAATGAACTTTTTATATTTTTACAACTGAAAAATATAAAACATAATTTTTGACATTTTTTTAATTTAGCAAAGAATTTAGACTACAATGCAAAGTTATTTCTACCTTCAGGCACAATCTTAATGCACAAAAATCATAAATGCAGACCTTGTATAAAAAATGAAGCAATGTCAGTCTAAATTAATATATATATATATATATATATATATATATATATATATATATATATATATATATATATATATATATATATATATATATATATATATATATATATATATATATATATATATATATATATATATATATATATATATATATATATATATATATATATATATATATATATATATATATATATATATATATATATATATATATATATATGTATATATATATATATATATATATATATATATATATATATATAATTTTTTTTATTTTTTTAAATTTTTTCTTTGAGATAATATTTATATAGATTCAGAGAAATATAAAATATTCTGATATATAGGCACATTTATGTATATAAACTTACCTGTCAAAAATTACAGTCAGTTTTCCATGTTAAATACATAAAATATATATCTAATATAAGATAAAACAAAACATTACACTTACTCAAATCAATAACAGTTCAACTGTCTAAATATGTTTATTATTTACCCTTCTATTTCGAAAAAGAAATAAATGATTTGAAGTGACTAAAAATTTCCAATTGCACTAAAAACTAAAATAAATCTTACTTTGCTAAGTTGCCAAGTTCTTAAGAATCTGAAAACAAATAAGTAAAAAAGCAAGAACAAACAAACATTTTTTAAATAAAACTACTCTATTTAAACAACTTAAATTAAACAGAGAACAACATTAATCCTCTTTTAAAGCTGAAATACTTTTCAGCTCAAATTTGCTTGCATTCTTGCTTATAAAACCACTTGTATATGTAACATTGAACTTTGAATGTTGACTGGAGTAGATATATATATGTTTTTAAAAAATTCAAAATGATTTGTTCTTCTATAGATAATAAAACCACTATAAATCTGAAGTTTAAAATGTAACAAATAAGTAAATACAAAGAAAAACATCATATATGAATTGAAAATCAATGTACCTGATAGAGTAGTAGTTGATAAATATTGTTTTTTCATGATAAACAAAATGTATTTATAGCGAAATGGTCTTGAATGAATTTTAGTAAATAAAAAAAAGCAGTGAGTTCTAGTAATGAAACTACCTATTAATCATTTTTAACAGCTGACACCAACGTAAAGATAAGCCAAAGTTAGCAACATTACGCGAAAAATTATTAAAGATAATGCAACGTGTTTTCAGCATAGTTATATTAAAGGCTTGTCAACATTTAGACCTAAAGCAGTAACATCGCTTGACTGGTAAGATTGATAAATCTTGCTGTACACGTTTGCCAAGTCACTCCACTTTGAAATCATGGAAACAACATTATTTAAACATATATACTAATTATAAAACACAATATATTTTTTAATGGCATAAAAAAACACCCCATTTAACAATCTTTCACAAATTAGATATAATACATTTCATACTATTATAAAAACACATTTATATAAGCACATTTATAAAACAACTATTTAACATGTATCACCACATACACGCATTTGTTAAAAATTTTTAAACTTTGAGTTTAAAAATTTTTTAAAATTGAAAATTTGTAAAATTAAAAATTTCTAATTATTATATATTTAGATACCTTACAATGACACATAACACAACACTCTTTTGACAAATTCCAGAACAAATTTTCTTAACTTTTCTATTTCTTATTATTTTTCTTTAGATAAAATATACATATAGATATAGAGAAATATAAAATAGAATGAAATAAACGCAAACTTATGTATATAAACTTACATGACCACAAATGTCAGTCATATTTTATTTAACTTTTCATATTAAATACATAAATAAATTTTTATTCTCATTATTCTTTCCATAAAAGAAAATCTTAGCCTAACTTTAAAAAAATGAATTAAACTTACTAAAAAAGCGATCAGTTCCTCTTAACTGCTCTAAAAAATAAAGCAAATACCTGCTTAAAATGTTTTAAAAAAACTAATGACAAAACTAAAACAGTTTTCTTAAAAAAGAAACATTGTACGAATAAAACTATTTTATCAGTCAATTTAAATCTAACTTCTTCTAAAAAATGAAAAATAAATACAATTTAGATACCTTAAAATGAAGCATAACACAACACCATTTTGACATGACATTCATTTGACAATTTGCAATTTTAAAAAAAGATGACAATTATTAGTTACTTAATGCAATTTTAAAAAGATTATATATTACCTATAATTTTTGCTACTAAACATTATCTACTTAATGTCTAGTTAAACCATTTGAACTCGTGAATGAAACTACCTTTTAATCATTTTTTAAGCAACAGTTACCACCACAAAAATAAGCCAAAGAAAACAACATTACGCAAAAAATTATCAAAGATAACGTTGTGTATTTTCAACATATTACATAAAAGGCTAGACAACACTTAGACCTAAAGCAGTGCTTGACAGGTAAGAATGAAAAAAATATCTCTACACGTTTGCCAAGTCACACCACTTTGAAAACATGGAAACAACATTATATAAACATATATACTAACTATAAAACACAATATATTTTTTTAATGTTATATAACATATAAAAACACCTCATTTAACAATCATATACACATTAGATAAAATACATTTCATACTATTATAAAAACACATTTAAATAAACAATTATATAACATATATCATCTCATTTAACAATCATAAACACACTAGATAAAATAAATTTCATACTATTATAAAAACACATTTGTGAAAACAACTATATAACATATATCACCAAATACACGTTTTTATCAAAAACTTTTTTAACTTCGAGCGTAATATAAACATATATGCAATCTTTTAACAACTTTAAAACAATATTTATTAGCTTCAGTTATTTTTAATGTAACAAAGAATGCAGATACAATGCCAACATTGTTATTAAAAATAAAGTTATATCAGTCAGTTTATATTATTCTAAAACAATGAAAAAAAAGAAACCATTTAAGAACAAAATTAAAAATTTCTAATAAATACATATTTAGATACCTTAAAACGAAGCATAGAACAACACTCTTTTGGCAAATTGCAATTTTGAAAAATTAAGAAATTTTCTTAATTTTTCTATTCTTTATTATTTATCCTTAGAGAAAATATATATATAAATATAGAGAAATATAAAATAGACTGAAACAAATCGAAAATCTTAATTCATGTATGAGAAAATGACTTGAACTTACTAAAAAAAGCGATCAGCATTTCTCAACTGCTTTAAAAAATAAAACAAATACTGCTTAAAATGTTTTGAAAAGACTAACGACCAAACTTATATAGTTTTCTTAAAAAAGAAACATTGTACTAAAAAAAACTATTTTACCAGTCAATTTAGTTGTAACTTATTCTAAAAAATTAAAAATAAATACATATTTAGATACCTTAAAATGAAGCATAACACAACACCCTTTTGACAAATTCCAGAATAAATTTTTTTATTTTCCTATTCTCAACTATTTTTGCTAAAAGAAAATACATATAGATATACATATATATATATATACATATATATATATATATATATATATATATATATATATATATATATATATATATATATATATATATATATATATATATATATATATATATACATAACAAACTAACAATTATTTAAATTTTTATTTTAAAAAATAAATAACATCAATTCTTCTTGAAAACAAGTGTATTAGCTCCATTTTGCTTGCTGATTTTACTCGAAAGACCGCGTGGAATGTATAACTGCGCTTTGAAAAGTCTAGAAACAACTTAAAAACTAAGAAACAGTGTATTTTACATAATGCAGAACCGTAATTAACAAAACGAACAATAGGCGTAACTATGCGCACTAATATTCATTGCCGTATTATTATTTAGGTTATGTATTTATATTACTATTCAATTTGTTATATTAATAACTATGAGACATTGAACAAATCTTATTACCAAAAAAACTTATATGACTTATTAATAATGATATTACCTAATGAAATATAAATATATAAATTTTTACCTCTACACACCTTTTGGTGAATCAGAAATGGATTAAAGCAACTTTTCTGATTACCCTCATTTCTTACAACTAACATATCATGATGGTGTGTGCATATATTAGTAATTTGTTCTTGTTTCAGATTTGTTCGTTTTTCAAGTAGCTTGCGATCATTGCTGTCAATATCTGAATGAAGATTTCTTTCTTGAGTATATGATTGTTTATAACAAGCTCTACAATTATTTAAAAAACAGCAATTAATTTTGTTATCCATATAAAAATAAAATGAGGAACCTCTGTCTAAACACTTAATACAAGAAATCTTAAATAGTTTTAATGTCTCTAACAAGAAAAGTACACTCGAACACAAACAATATCATATCAATATGCACCCAGTGGGCACAAGAACGTTTTGCAAACGTTTTTTAATGGTCCCGTAAAAACGTTTTTTAATGGTTTTTTAAAGGTCCATATGAAACGGTGACCGGACGTTTTCCTAAA